TTAGCCTCAACTTTCTTGAACCGACCACGTGTCTTGACCTTCTGCGCGTCTCGCGCCCTGGTCGCCGAATTGTCGTCCTTTGAAATGTGGCGAATATCACCAGCCTTTAACGGTGGACTCATCATGGTACTCGCCGCCGACTCAGAAGAGACTTGCGTCACAGGCGCACCGCTCAAAACAGCTTCAACCGCCGCCTTGCAAAGATGCCAGTTCCCAGAACACAATAGACCGGTCGCCCCATTTATTGGATTAATAATACGCCCACATGCTTCATACAACAATGATCTAAAGATAGCTGCGATTATCCCAAAAAAAATAATAAAATAATTAGTAACCAGAGACTAGAGCACTGAAAACTGTGTAAAGGTGCATAAAATAAATATTTTGATTAAAAAGTTTATGTAAAGTTTTTGAAACGGGAAAAAATCGGAAACTGCTCTGCGTTTCAAAAAAAGATTTTGAGAATTTCCACTAGAACAAAAGATTTAACATTTGATGATATCAACTTCGGCACCTATTACCAGGCTGCAAGTGTTGGGCGCCGGCATTGATGAGGTTAAGGAGGCCAGCGCGGCCATAAAATTTGGCGAGGAAAACGGTGGCGTTGGATTGCGCTTCAGGCGTTTTCATCCACTGAAGGCAAGGTCTTATTGTGCAGTTTTCGCTGCAGCCTTTTCGGAGAACCCGGCATCCATTGCAACTCATTCGCATGGCTACCAGTTCTTTCACTAAGTTAGCTGATTTTCTGGCTTTCAGGCAGGAATCGGGAATGGGGATGGGAGGGTTTATCACGTGAATGAGGACTGGGAAATGGGTTTTATAAATCTTGGAGCGCCGCAAGTGGTTTCCTGCGATGCTGTATTCTGTGGGAGGTACAAAACTTATTTGTCTGTTTTCATATTTTTTAAGAGAATTCTTCAAATTGCCCCTTCATTTTCTTCTTCTTTGTCCTATTATCGTTTAATTTATTATTCATTTATTTTTAATGGTTTCTGATGGAATACTTGCACTAAATTTAATTAATGTGTGAATACAGTGATTAGCGTTTTGGCCGTTTATAGATGAATTCGACCAAAGTGAGTGACATGTAGTCCATGTTAGTATCCAAATGCAGGTTGATCGACATTCTCGACATGATGGTACCAACTTTTCAATGGATAGAATATACGTGTCTATTTATTAAAATTTGTTGTTTGAAAAAGTAAATTTGATTATGCGACTACAAGAGGATTGACAAAATCACAGGTAGATTTTTAACTCATTCACCATCTATCTGCGAACGAAATAAACAGGCATCCATTTTAAAACTACCATGTGAAGAAGAACCATTAAATCACCAAGCAATTTCCTATCCAAATTGAGGTTTCTGGAAATTTATTCGACATTTTCCACTTCAATGAGTCGAACATTGATTAAAAATAAAATCTGACAAGTGGAGAATAAAAAAATGATTTTCTTTCTATTTAACCTTATAAATATTCGAATGCTGTCAGTCATACGAGGTAAGGTTGCAACAGTCGAAGAGATGGCAGAGTTGTAATTTTAGTAAAACTTGAGGGCCGAAGAGTCCAATAACAGCATGCAACTCAGTCCAAAACCATGAAGCCGAATGTCGCAACACGTGTAAAGCCGCACTGTAGATTCACGGCGGCCAGCCACATAATCTTGGAACTATGGCCTCCCTATCACGCGCCATTTTTGTTCAGGCTTCAAACGCGCCCAGGAGATGTGCATGTTGCGCCATCTTTAAAGTATTTAGCTGCTAGTAAATATGTTCATGTAACGGTTAAAGTTATAATAAAGTAAATGTTTTAGTTTTAGATATTGTCTGATTAGAAGAGGAAACGAGGGTAGATGTTCAATAATATAGAAATATTTTCTTTTTTTAACCTAATTTTTCTCTTTTGATTTAGAAAAATCGCTACACATTTAGTTAATAGCTTCAAAAAAGTGATCCCGTCTTTAATATCGGGCCTTGTCTAGAACTTGGATGTCCAACCGTGTATGAAAACTCACCCTAGCCACTTTGGAATCGATTTTTGAGCCCATTGTCGAAGAGCAAGTCCCTCATATGGGGACTCTTTACTTTTCCACCCTACGAGGAAGTGGGCGAATGCCTCCTAAAGAGTAATGGAGGTGTGGCGGGTTGGATGCTTTTCTTACCCAGCCTATGAGTTCAGATAATATATATTTGTGCCACTAATGTAGAGAATGGATGAATAGCTTGGGAAAACTTGGTTTTCTCATTAACTGTCAAATTTTAATGTTAAATATACATTTATAAAACTCATAATTCTTATACACTTATTTAAATCTCATTTCTATCACATTATAATTTTAACCACTTATAAATAAATTCAAACAAACATAGTCTTTGTTAAGAGAAAACCCACGAATACCAAGGTAATATCGAGCTCAGTTTCCAACCAAATCAACACTACACAATCAAGACACACCAAACGCCCTATTTCCCTTCTCCCACTCACAGTTTTTATTCATACCCACAAAGAAATAGCCAATAGAAGATTAATATCACCCAAGATAAACCACAAAGGTTACACAAGTAAGAAAAATGAGAATGAGCAGAAACGGGAATCACAAAGAAAAGGCAGCGAGCATTCTTCTTAGAGGCACTAGAGGAGACCAAGATACAGCCGAAGTGAGAGAATAATTAAGGTAAGTTAGGTTAGGTTAAGAGTGGTGGCCCAAAAGACCCAACGCAAGGATAATGGATTAATTTCAAAAATGCATTTTTCCTCTCAAAATGGGGCTCAAACAAAGCACAAGTCCTATGGTTTGTGATACGTATGTGGTCTCTTTGGTTTTAGGATTTTCTTGCCTCAATCATTCTTTTTCTTTTGATACGTTCTATCATAAAATGGATTAATTTCATATTTGTCACCTAACTTGGTGGTTTGAAAGAAACATTTTCAAAAAGCTTGGTAAAGGGTATGAACAAGTTAAAAGTTTCGTGACCAAGAAGACATGTAATGTTTCAAGTCCATAAGTGAAATTAACCCACTATAAATTGTTGAAAAATTTGAAGATATTGTTTCTTCATCTCTGATTATGAAAAAAGGAGGGAAGGAGAATAAGAGATTAAAATGTTAACTGTTTTTTATTAAAATCGACGTAGTGAAGTGCAACGCCATATATTATTCACATGATGAATTACAGTGGTGATGGGAATAAATTGACATATAACATTGGAACAATGGAACAAATGGAGGGAAGAGATAATGAATTTGTTTTGGAAATTCGTATGGGCGAATTTCTAGGATAATATATTTGAACAAAGACAGATGTCTTACCGACCCTTCACATGGGGTCGGTTCCACGCGGACTCCGATGTAATAAAAAATGAAGAAAAAAATCCCTACCCCACCTCTTTGTGAAAACTCTGTAAGAGTTCTGTAATGTGCTGGGCTTACCCAATATATTTTTGGATAACTATATTTTCACGAATTTCAAGGTAGATGAGGATAAAAAAAAAAGGTCAAAAGCAAGCTCCTGTTTGCATAAATGAGTGAAAAATAAAAAAAGTTTATTTCATTGGGTTCATCTCCAAAGAATAAAGAAAAAGGAAAATAAGCTTTTATTTGAGCCTCATTTATAAATAATATTTTGACATTATTTCAACTATATATTTTACAATAAAATAATATTACAACTAATTCAACAATTTTTCTTATTTTTTAACCACACATTTTCCATCAATATATTATTCAAAAATTCGTTTTTATGAAAAGAATGGGGCACAGATAAAGACTAATAAAGAAACAAGATACGGTTACTATCACTTCAGGAATTTCGACCACTAATTTGCCTAAACCCATAAAAATTATAAAAAGTGCAACTCACTCGTATATTTTCATTAATCCACTCACGATTTTTTTTATTAATCAATAAACAAATATACTCGACATAAATTAAGATGGATTAATGTACACTGTAGCATAACCCAATTAAGATTTGAATTTCATTTTTTGTCTTACTCGACATTCTAATATATCAACCTTTTGTATTGCAAGCAATGCAATTTATGATATTGCAACATTAACAGTACATTTAGCCCCCGTTTGAGCCCCATTATTTCTTATTATATTAAATTAAATTTTTATCTCTCCTACTTTTAACAACACAATCTTCAATAAAATAATATTACACGTAAATTAAAAACTTTTCAACCACTCATTTTTCAAAAAAAATACTATTCATCTCATTATAATCTACAAATAATGGAGCTCAAACGGCCCCTTATAGTATCCGTTTAACCTTATTATTCATATTATGTTAAAATTACTGTTAAGACTTTTATTGGGGAGTTATGTTTGTAAATTCAATCTTGCAAATGTCTTGAGAACTGAGGTCCTCATTTGTTAACCCTGCACAATCAAACGATCCAAAACACCAGATAAGGCTACTCCACGTGGCACATTGATAGGGGTGCCAAAAGATGAGACGCCAATCCAATTTCGACCTTTCAACGGTCTATTTCGACCAAACTTCTTCAGATGAAAGTGAGACCCTTGGATCCTAATATTTGAAATTAATTTTTAAAATGGGCTGTAGTGTAATATATAGGACGAGTTAGTCGAACGAGTTTTGTTCACAAGGTGTCTGTTGTGCATAGAAGAAAAAATGGTTTCGTCAATGCTCTCAACAGTTGTTGCCACCACCGCTGCCGCCCATGTTCAAGCTAGCATGGTGGCTCCTTTCACTGAACTTAAATCGACCTCTGCTTTCCCAGTCAACCATAAAAACACCGACATCACCTCACTCGCCAGCAACGGTGGCAGAGTTTCCTGCATGCAGGTGAATTTTGCAATTTAAAAGAATGAAAAAAAAATTAAAAAACAAGAAAATATGTACTGAGTAACAGTTATTTTAATTGGAGTCGATCGGTCGATCGACCTAGTCATGCAACATTTTAGACTTAACTAATACATACGCTAGATTATCAAGAGTACAAACTTATGAATACAACGACTAACTAGATTTATGTACTTTATAATTCATATACAATGTTGCTAGTGGTAATTGCAGGTTTGGCCACCAATTGGAAAGAAGAAATTCGAGACTCTCTCATACCTTCCTGATCTCAGCAGAGAGCAATTGCTCAAGGAAGTAGAGTACCTTCTTCGATCGAAATGGATTCCCTGCCTCGAATTCGAGTTGGAGGTCAATGATAATATTACAATAAATATTTTCGAATAATCTAACAAGTTGACTGCTCTTAAAATGATTAATTTTGTATAATCAATGCAGCATGGATTCGTGTACCGTGAGAATCACAGATCACCTGGGTACTATGACGGAAGATACTGGGTGATGTGGAAGCTGCCCATGTTCGGGTGCACAGACGCCGTTCAAGTGTTGAACGAGTTGGACGCTTGTGTCAAGGAATACTCCAATGCATTTGTTAGGATTATTGGATTCGACAATGTTCGCCAAGTGCAATGCATTAGTTTCATTGCATACAAGCCTAAAGGATACTAGATTTCATCGATCACTATCTGATCGAGAGTAATTTGTTGCTCAATGTTTTGTTTTCTTTCTAATAAATTTATTCACAGTTTGCTTCTTTTGTTTTTCTGGTCTTCTCTTTCTCGATGGAACTGAAACGTACAAGGATAGATACTTTATAAACTACATTTACTCCAGAGTTTCAATTTTTGATATATAAATTGATTTACTAGGTCTATTGTGTTATTGCTAGCAAATACCATTATTT